TCGAAGCTTACTTACGCGCGCACATGTGCGGCGCGATGTAGCAAGCGATCTCCGTGACACAGCACCGAGGTGAAGTAGGCGGAGCCGTACTGCCGCGCGCGCGCCAGCTGCAGGTAGTCCGACGTCCAGCCAGAAGTTGGTGCTCCCAGGGCTGTCGCCGCCAGCCCGCTGCCAGAGCACACCGCAGAAACATGGACAAAATTCATGAAAAAACCCGGATGAAGGTCGCCAAGAAACAAGAAGAAAGGTGCGCAAAAAACAAGGATGAAGGTCGCCCCGAGAAACACGAATGAAGGTCGCAAGAAACAAGGAAGGTTGCAAAAAACAAGGATGAAGGTGCGCAAGAAACACGGATGAAGGTCGGGCAAGAAACAAGAAAGAAGGTCACCGATAAACACGATCACGAAGCATGTGCGACATGGCAGGACTACAGATCATTAGAATGAGTTTTACATCAGATGTTGTAATAATATCAGCAGCGTGCATCGGCCGAATTGTGTCGGTTGGAATGTTGATTGTGAAACCGACTAGGTTTTGATATGCTGCCTCTTATAGTTAGGTGGTTAATTCTATGGTGACGACACACGATTCTAATAGGGAGCAGACACCGAGGAAGGGAACGCTGACCATGTGGTGTGAGTTTGCTGCAGACGTAGATACTGCAGTAAGTCAGCATCAACCCGCTACAGAGTGCTTGTTCATCGTTACAGGCAACATCACTTGCCGCTCCTGGTTAACAAACAACAGGGAAAACACCTGACATGATGCACATCAAGTTTCAATAAAGATGAACATAATTCATAGCACAGGTAATGGTGTCATGGGACAAAGATTTCAAACTGACAGAGATCTTTTGAAAAATGCAATATGTGACAACTGCACAGCAGTTTAAATATTGTATATATCGACTATTGCATCTAATTACATACGATATGTGGTAATACCAGGCATGTACAAATATAGAGATATTTATCTATTTATAGATATTCTCGCTATAATTTATTATGCACACCTGGATGAATACGAATACCCATCATCCAGATATCA